AAAAATATTGCTTTTACTTTGTTATAGGAAAAAGATAAAATAATAGGCAAAAAAAGTTAAAATGATCCTTGATTTAATAGTGCTAATGGAGGAATTAATGAGAGGGACTATGATCAAAACAAATTGAATAACACAAGAACCAAATCCACAATAAACATACTATAGGCACTCTAGTAAAAAATGATTAAAACCCAGGGACCAAATCCATGATTCATTCTTTATATAAATTATATCAAAAAATGAGAATTTTATTATCTGTAATTTTAAGACCCATAATGTTAAATATATTTTTAAGGTTCACATATGAAATTTAAACAGATTCAAAATCTTGCTTATAAGTTGAAAATTGACTCATGTACGAGTCATAATTAAGATTCACATGTGAATTTATGTTAATGATTTACGTGTTCACATGTGAATCTTAAACTGATTTAGAATCTCAGATATAAATTTTAAATTGATTCACTTATAAGTTATGATTAAAATTCACATATGAACCTATGTTAGTATTCAAATATTGTAACACCCCATACTCCACATTTGCATAAAACACATATTTCATTACATAGAAACATGGATTACATCAAAAGGTCCCACTAGTACATGAATTGCTATATGTACAAAATCTACATATAAAAATTCCAAAACTAATCCTGTACTACTACATGAATTACAACATGTATCTTCAAAAGCAGGAAACAGATTAGGAAAATAATCACATTTTCCCTTTCCCTTTAATATCCCCGGACCCAACTATTCCTGCATTGCATAATTTAAAACAGAAAATGAGAGTTAGACCATACGGGTCTAGTGAGTAAATCCCCTGTTTGCAAATGCAGGGTGCCAAACACCAAAATATGATAATGTAATCTTGGCTTTAGAAAGATACCGAAATATAACAAATATGCAGTTTTCAATATCATATATAAAGAAGTATATCCAAAAATTCTCACTTCTTTAAAATATTTCTAAACAGAGATCCAACATTCCCAATATCCAAAACTTTTTAAATGAAAATACCATTCTTTTAACAGGAATGATTTAAGGCAAAACTTGCCCAATATGACAAACCGTTTTCCCCTTCTCAATAACATCTAAATTATTACTTCTAAATAGRAATAATATCTCTAATTCATCAGGTCACAAAGAAATGATGATTCAAAGTTATTAAATYCAATTTAGTAATAATAATAAGAGTTATAATAATAACATCCCCATATGACAATGCCACCCTTATTCCAAGTACACATTTCCTTGATATGCCACCCTTATTCCTCCAATTTAACAGAGCTACTTATCAKAACAGACAYAAGTCACMACGTCTGAAAGTACTCATCCCCAGTTCCAAACCAGAACAGACATAAGTCACCACGTCTGGGGAACTACCTTTTAAAACTCACTTCCATACCAAAACAGA